ACCAGCTTTTGTCACTACGGATGCAGTGACAACTAGAGTTTGAAGATACTGAGTATATTCTGGGGATGTAACTGTGGGTTTGGCTTCCTTCAAAAGGAATCAATTATGCACACTCTGAGACCCTGGATGGTTAGTGGGAGCCATCAGAGGATTCCCTTCAAAAGTGAGTTGCTGATCCTAACTAGAATACTAATGCAGAGGTACCTCATGCATCCTAGTGTGCTTCATCCATATTATATTCCTAGGAGTAACCTGGATTAGGTCCTACCTGAAATGCACATAAGTGTATCAAGATCTCAACATTCAGTATCTTTGCTCCACAGATTCTGACACATACCCACTCCTATCAGTCTATACTTGCCAGTATAGTGACAGACTCCATTTATTTGACTGTGAATTCACCTAGTGATGTGTATACACCGCTGGAGAACAGTGTGATGAATCTCAGCCAATAGCCATGAAAAGTTTTAGAAGAAAAGGTACTATGTGATGGGTTTCTCCCAGAGATTTCTGATTTCCTTTACAATTTCTGGTTACAGCTCCCTGATCTAAAGGAGACCACAGAAGTATTTTATTATTTGGTTCTGTAAATACTCATTTGTTAATGCTTGAAGTATTTTTAAAAGGGCTATTTTTGTTTTTATAATAAACTTTCTAGGTCTGTTTTATAATCTTCAAAACATTTTAGTGATTTCTATTGTTATCACATTTATGGGATAGTTGGAAATTGCTGTCAAATTTCTGACTAGCATAAATTTCTTCATATAAATATCAAATTTACCTGGAGATACTCTGTTTTGCCTGTAAAGTTTTCTGTCTCTTTGTTAACTGGAACAAGGAACTGCATTCCTTGATAAGTCCTCTTTCTGGACACACTTCATTGAAGCACTGTTTGTACTGGATAAATGGGAATTTTCAGCAGCTGTAGGTTTTTTTTTAAAGCTGATAGAAGATGTTATTTATAACTCCCTGTAGCAGCTCCTCTTTAATGCATGATAATCTGCTGTGACTTTATAATGAATGCAGCCACATGTGGTCTCCTGCTCTCCTTCAGTAACCAAACATTTTCCGGATGAAGAATATTTTAATCACTAGGCTGCATGTAAATTTCCTGAAGGGTGATAAAAGCATTTCTTTATGTTACCATTATCTTTATAAATTTAAAATTATGTTTTCCCATATCTCTTTCTTAGGAACATGAAGCAAGTAAGCCTAGATTTTCTTCAATCCTTCCAAGAGATAGGAATTTGCTGTACAGCAGGGAAATAGTAAAGTAGCAGGCATTCTTATAAAGCATTAAATTGCAAAATTTGGAAAAACTTATTTCATGGGATAGAATAATATCAGTAATTTTCCTGTTTTCCACAGAAGGTGGCAGCATTCTGAAGCACTGATGTCAGTGTGAACTTGCTAGCAAATTGCCGTTGTTGAAAGAACACAAACTTTACAGAAATTTCCTCTCCTTGGAGGTTGTGTTGAATATAAACAGGAATGCTTGGGCATGAATTGTTGTTGAACTGGGGAACCTGGGGAGGGAGGAGAAACTACATTCACATAGGTGGAGTATGTATGTAGGATAAATTAACCCCAAAAGATTTAACCCCTTGGTTAATTTAGCCATGTTTATTTACCATTGCAGTCATACTGCCGGAGTGCCTCTTGTCTGAAGCTACGTGAAAAATTACTTCTTCTAGGTTATGCCTTTTTTAATTGAATAACTCAGCTGATAATGGATCTCTCCACTAAATGCAGAGAATGTCCTGGGAGATGACTGTCACCTAAGAGTGGAAGCTTCTGTTATTTTCTCCATTTCCTTTGCCCACCACCAGCAGTGTTCTCCAGCTCATTTAATCAAGCCAGCCTCCATCTAAGCACCTGAGTGACCCCCATAGACATGCAAATGTAACCTCCTGAGCTAGCAAAAAACCAAACAAAAACAAATAAAGCCAGTGGAAAAACTGAGTCATATTCTACCGGAGTAAGAAAGGCCCGTATGACTGGAATCAGGATAAGAAAAGACAGGGGAGGAGGAAGCGCAAGCCTTCCCCTTTTGGCATGAGGGAGCTGTTAACATTGACAGCTGCTTGTGAAACCGCAGCCTTAGGGCGGGCTGCATAGTTACAGGATTGAGCTCTTGATCCCAAACTCAATCCCAGCGGTCCTACCAGCACACAGGTTTTACAGCCCCCTTTGACACGCAAACGCCCTTCCCACCCTGCCCTCCTTTTTATCAGACATCTCATCTGAGCAAGGAAGTGGTGACAGACAACCAAAAGGCAGGAGCTGCTTAACCTTTCACCGTAATTAACCTTGCAAGCACCGCTAGAGCCTCAGAATGCCTCAGACAGATGAGGTAAGGCCACACGGGAAGCTCATTTAAACCAAATGACTGGCTTCCTAATCACTACATATGCAGAACATTTAAGGAACTGGAGGATCAGCTGAGACAGCACAGGGCTACGATTTTCCTCCTTTCAGCTGATTCAAAAAGTCTCTCTATCCTAGGAGAAGGGGAGAAGTTGATTTTTGCATCTCCAGTAGAAGGAATGAGACAGGAAAATTGGATCCTTAAGAGGAAGAGGTGCTTGTCAATGAAGGACCACTATATGCTTAGCAGATTTTTCCTTTCCTTCTGTTGGAATGAAAATTAAACAACAACAACAACCCAAACCCAAAAAGTGGCTGAGATATTCCACAGCAGATTGGCTACAACAGAGTTACCTGGGGAGACCCAGCATGTATGCTGGAGGTCAGTAGCAAGTTCCCAGGCTGAGTCTCTTGGGCTTCTTCATGCCTTCCTCTTTCTTATTCATTGCCTCGAGCATTCCAAGGCTCTTTTTTACAAGCTGGCATGCTGGCAGAACCCCAGAAAGTGGCACAGGTTGAAGTGTGCCTGTGTGTTACAGCAGCTCGATGACTGAGGGAACAACTGTTTCGTTTTTTTTCCCTCGGGGTGATGATGCACTGAGTTGAAGAGACCCGAGGAGAAGGGAGTACAGCACTGAAAGTCTTCTTCTTGGCACGTGTGAGTCCCTGGGAGGAGTCAGGTAGCTACAGGAGTTGTAGGTGAAAGAGGCAGTTCCCCTCTGGAATTCCTGTGCAAATGGCACGTGGGACAGCAAGGATTGGATGCCCTCGCTGCCTGGAGTTAAAGAGCTTTACAGGGCAGTTAATTGAAAAAGTAGGGGGCCATGTTCAAAATGGGAGGAGTTATAATTTGAATAGTTGGTTTTCTTTTGGTGTTTTTCTTTTTGCAGGGAAGCAGGAAAAAAAAATGGGCTGGGACTTGTCCACTTTGCTTTCATCTGGAATGTGACTTGGGTTTTTTTTTTGTTTGTTTGTTTATTTGTTTTTGCTGATGTTGTTGGTTTGGGTTTGGATTTTTGGGTTTTGGTTTGGTTTTTTTTTTTTTTTTGGTTTGTTGGTTTTGTTATTGGTTTTATTTTTCCCAGGGGAAGAGGGGAACAGAAATAAAAAGAACTGCAGATAGCTACATCTGGAGGGAAAGCTGGTATAGGCTTATAGAGATTTGGGTCCAGGACAGAAAATCAATATATCTATGAGTGGTACACAGGGGTCCAGACCATTCCAGATAAAGGAGAGGAGGCTGTTATCTGAAACATTGGGAACTGCTGAGATAAAGTAAGCTGTTCCATTCTGTTGGTTTGAAGGGCTCAAGCAGTTGAGATCTCAGCTGGAAATTGCAGCATGAAGAAAGTAAGGAGAAGCTTCCTGAACCACTTCTTGGAAATAATTCCTGATTGTGGAGCCCTTTTCCAGTCTCTGTAATGAGGAGTCTTAGATCTAGAGTGACTGCACTCTGCAATAGTCAGCATGGTGGTCCCTGAAGTGTGACACTCAGTGCCACATTGACAGGACCAGTGACCTGCCTGGAGTCACTGCTGCTTTATTGGCATTTTCTTGACACTTGCTCCTGTGGAGTTGTAGACTCACCCACAGCCCTTTCTGCTAAGTATTTTAAATGGTGCTATTAAGTGTCTTGGTTTCTGAAAAAAGCATTAATTCTTCTGTTTAGTGTGAAATGTATACAATAGATTAGTTTCTTTGTATTTAAAGAACCATATTTGTCTATTGGAAATTTTCAGGTTTTTAAAGTATTTTCTTCTTTTTTTTTTCTTTTTTTCTTTTTTTTTTTTTTTTTTTTCCAGGAGTGGACACAATAAATTACACCTTAAAGTCTTGGTCTTTGTGATCTGGTGCTAAGACAGCTGAGGCCATGGGTCACTGGAGGCCTCACAGAGAAAAAGAACTGTACTATGCATTGACTCCAAGAGAAAAATGAGAGGATGTGGATGTTCTGGAGCACGTATGTGATATATTCTGTCTTAGTCGGAAGGGTGGAACTAGATAATCTCTAGAGGACCCCACCAGCTTCAACTTCAGCTACTTTGGAATGATTTCTGAACTAGGAAAAAGTTTTTTTAAGAGGTAGGTGTCTGCAGCCTTTGTGGCTTGGAATTTTATTTTTGTCCTACTCCATCTTTTCAGTAATGAGTACATTGAGAACTAACAACTTTCTCCAACATTCAGCATTACCTATCCCTGTTGATGCCTGGATACTCAGATCACATGAAAAGCCAATAAAGACCCTGTGAATTCACACTGTTTTGAATAGAGGGCACATTGTGGAGTTCAGCTCACTTTATAAAAACTGTGTGTGAGGTACAAAGTTACTACACAGCAAAAATGTTTATGGCACTTGCTTCTAGCTTGTGTGTACCCTCTAAGATCTGAGGTGTCTGCATCTTTTGTTTCAGAAAATCTGACTGGGTAAGCTTGAAGATACCCATATTAAAATTTGATTGTTACTATCTTGCACACCATGCTTTTTCCCTGATGGGGTATAAGGACACTGTACATTGCAGAGGGAGGGAACACCAGCTTTATAGATTTTTGCTTGATGTAGCTATAAAGATAAATGTCTCATGGAGATCTGTATGGGATCAGACAGAAATTAAGACGGTGCAGAGAGACAGAAATTCTGGCATCAATCATAATACTTTTATTTAAACAGTAAGGTGTTATTTAATGTAAGTGGTTCTATTTTTATTAATACTTTATGCTGAATTTTGAACAGTACTGTACCTAAACAATTTTACAAATATAACACTAAATACATTGTTTATTGCTCTTTTTTGCATGAACATAAAACCTGGAAATGAATACAAGAATAAATAAGGCACCCTACTAGTATGCTATTTTTTTGTATTGTAGCATGCAAAAAAATTAATTTTGGTCTTGCAAACTTTCCTAATTTTTCTTATTAGAGAAAAAATAAGAGTTTTGGGGAAGTGCCTGTTTGAAAAGTCAAGACTTGAAAGCACTTTTAAATTTTCTTAATTCAACCGTCTACCTTACAAAACAGCTCTCGTATAGCATGTCCTAATTTCTTTTCCTAAAGACAAAAAGTATTTTTGTTCCTCTTTTGCTGTTACTAGGAAACATGCCTTGCAAGAGGAGCGTTCACGTACTGCTTGAGACAAAAGACCTGACTTGCTTTTTTTAGCTGCATTTTCTTCTTGTACTGACCCCTCTCAAAAGATAAAAATAAAAATGCAGAGGCATCTTTCCTGATTTCTTGTATGTGGCTGGACCCAAATCAGTGATCAGCAAAAGATGGGAGCTCCACAACTGCTGCTTAAGGGCCTGTTCTAAATTTCAGTATGCCCTAAATTAGGGCTTCCCAACAGTTTCAAAATACATTCTGTCCAACTGTCCTTTCTCCATGCTGGCCAGTGACTTCAGTGATTTGACAACCTACTGCCAAAATGGTGACAAATGATCAAATAAACAAGAGGCACGACTCTGACCTCCATCCCAACTTTCTTTAAACAATTTGTTTCATTCTTTTCAGAAATGAGACAAAAGCTTTGAATTTTTCTTTTTTAATCTAAAGCAGAGTATATAATAATTTCTTGATTCTCTAATATTTATACTTTGAAACTGAAATGTTCTTGCAAGGTAATATAAATAGCAGGTTCAATCACCTAGTTTACTAGTTATATGAAATATGTGTTACTTAGCTATGTGATAACACCCAGCTTTACATAAACTCTGAAATGTAAAATGTCTTTTAATTACATAAGTTATTACAGTACTGTTTCAAAGGAATCTTTTGGTTATACGTAAACACTATAAATTAGCTCTTTAAAAAATAACCATGTAAGACAAGTATGGCATTGACATAGCTTAAAAAACAATAAACAGCCCTAAATCTGAATACTCTCAGGGCAGAACAGCAAAAGCAGGTATCAATCTAATGCTGTGGAATAACATGCTGAAATTTTGACTTATTTGAAGACTCAGTACTTTTATTTGATCCCTCCTTTTGTTTTCATTTTTTAAGCTTTTCATCATCAATGCTCTAAGGAATGGGCCAACTGGTACTATATGTGACAGGATAATATAAGCTATTTTGAGTGTTGCCATTCCAATAGTAAAAGCCATCTAAATAAAGTTTCCTAAATACATACTGGTTTAAATTAAAATCCTGAGGAATTATAATCTCTCTACTTGATAGTTTTGGTTAAGTGCAATTTGATGTATGCAGAACACTGTTTCATTTAAGGTCATTCTTAGTAAGGCATATTAAAAATAAATATAAAAGTGACAACATAATATTTAGTTTCTTGCTACAAAATCTTAGGCAAAAATATTTTTGCATGTAGTAATAGACTTTATCCATTTGCTGGCTTACAGGAGTTAAAGTTTGTGCACTAAGCTTAACTGCCCTTGTCAGAATGTGCCACTGTGCTATAACAGTGGTCCAAAGCTATATGCTGAAGATTTTATTTCCATGCTCAAACACAGCTTGCACAAACTGCTTGAAGACTCTGTCCATGTAAGTGCACTTCCTCGGCCATATTCCTTCCAGAAAACCGATATGGCCTCCACACGAAGTCAGAACCAAAGCAACATTTGCATTTTGTTTGGCAGTTTCTACTGGTATAGCTAAAAGAGGGAGAAAAACATTTTAAGTCCTTAACCTTCTATGAAATGCCAGCCATTGAAAAATTTCTCTTAAACATTTCTCATATTATGTACAAATAAATAGTCACAACATTAATATACACTTAAATGTCTTACAGGGTTTAGAACCACAGCTGTATCAAAAGCCATTTTTCTCTTCATCATTAACTCACCTTACCTGGGTGATTTTTTTTTCCCCTGGCTGCTGTAAGAATTCCAGCTTCATCTATCTTTCACTCACACTGATGGAACAGCACCCATGTTAATGCATACTTAGGATTAGCTATAGTGTAAGTAAAAGGACAATCAGCCCTCTAATTTTTAACTGTTATTGCAATGTTCAACTTTAGAAAAGCTGAGGAACTGGGACCTCAATTGAAATTGTATGAGACTCCAAGCACAGAACCTTTAATGTCAGGTTAAGAATTAGTCTGTAAGATATCCCATCAGCTAATATAAAAGATTACCATTATATCTGATCTGCCATATGTTTACACCTGTATGTTTAAAGCACACAATGCAAGTACACTGGGGGATGATTCTTGCCCTGAGGAGCCCATAATCTAAGACACAAGGTAAACAGAGAAAGAGGAAGGGGCAAACAACTGTACAAGGACATAGGAAGCTGATCCGTGCCACCCAGGAGATTAGTGGCTTTCTACTGAATAGTGACTGCTAGAAATTATTTTAGAATGTAGATTATTAGACTGGATAGTACAAGGATTTTTATTTTGCTGGGTTAGGTTCCCTGATCTGATTAGCACCCTAATGCAGTTCCCCATATTAATGCCAACATCTGAACAGTGGCAGCCACAGTCAGATGGAGCCTTCAGTGAGGTGGCCATTTCAGCAATGGTCTAGAAATAGCCTAAAGTCATCAGTGAATGACACCTGAGATAGGCAATGATCTAGAAATGTGTAGGAGGGAGGCTTCAGTGCCTCCTATTTTGGCTCTGCATAGATGTGTGGCTTAATCAATTTCACCACCTGGGCAGTTCCCTTTCTGAAGAAAAATAGAAGTCACTTAGCACAGACTGACACCAGAGGAAGCAGCACTTTACAAAGGGTACTTGGTGCAATGGGATCACCCTGGTATCATTTGAACTGGTTGACACAGCAGTGGAGACTGTGTCAAGACTGCAAACACCACAGATCTATAAAAATTAAGTTATTTAAGCAAATTCCTCTGGAGTTTTAGGTATGCTAAGTAGACATCTGAATTAACAGAAATCTCAGCACACTTCAGTAAAGAATGCATTTCAAATTTCCAGTTTTCAAGTAAGAAACTTTATGAAACAGAAAAAATCATAGAGTTTTGATTATTTAGGATTGACAGAAAAAGCAACAGCAAAACAAAAATGCTTTGTCCAAAGAAGGGAGTAGCAGCAGTTTCACTGTGTTGTCTAAAAAAGGTTATGACAAGAAAATAATGCTGATTTTAAGTCATATATTGCTTAACTAAAAATGCCTTGTCACTAACACTAAGCAGCAAGTCATTCACAAGATTTATATTACTTGTTCATTTATTTTAAAGTATTTTTGAATCATATCCCTTTCTGACTGCACTTCCTTTAGAGACACTTTCCACTCATTCCTGTTTCTAGGAATCCATTCCTTTACCCCTTCATACATTTGCTATCTCAAAGGTGATTATCCATGAATAGTCCCTATCTCTGCATATTACTGCCTTCTTCATAGATATGCTCCTTACTTTCATTGGGATGCTGGCAAACTCATAGCTGTGTGCTTGAAATGCCAGTTTGCCTTCATTTTCAGCAACTGGAGTAAGAGCAGAGTAACCTTTTGCTTAGCCAAAAAAGGACCCTCAGCCAAAGTAAGTCACGGGGGAACTTGAGTGCAGTGACTGTGGCGAACAGCTGTGCAACTTAAAATAGATCAGGGCAGAAGCACTGGACCTGTGGAGCCAGGGGAGCAGTCTGTGCCTCAGAGGTCCCTACCAGCAGTGCCTGGAACGACACGCTCTGTTCCACTCCAGGCCCTCAACACGGATGCAAAACCAACTGCCTGCAGATCTGGGTTAGTGTCTGTTGTGAAGGTGTGTTACAAGCTCCCTGCATATAACAAAGTACTTGACCATGCCCTGGGGGAGCATGGACTGAGCTCCAGAGATCGATGGGGGCTCTCTTGCCAAATATGCAAGGTTCTTTGCGACTCAGTGCTATCCATTTTTTCCACTCTTTCCGTCCTTTTAAAACTGCAAACATCTAAGTAGTTTGTAGATTCCAGCATTTACCAAGTGATTTTGATTCTTTACTAGGAGGAAGAAACTCTGCTTCTTACTGTTTCAACAAGAAGTCCTTTTCCTTTATTCAGTTGGAAAACTGAAAATACTGTATGCAGGATCTGGCCCTTTTAAAGCAGTACTGAGGCTAGACTAAAAAGTCAATCATGTAAAAAATCCTAGACTGGGGAACAGCACACGCTGAGAACATGAGATGCAGAAAACAATGTGTTATTTCTTGCAATCCAACACATGCATCATTTTCAGACTCAGCACGCGCTTGTCTGGAGTTTTGCCTGAGTTAATCTGCTCAGCAATCTCTGATCTGCCTCTCTTGGATTCTGTGGAGGAACACATTGCCATGTACAAAGAGAGTGGCTGCAATTCAGGTCGCCTTCTGCTGACTGCATAGGAATTTGCCCACTTATCTGTACCAAGTCATCTGCTCTTCTTCACTCCAATAGCCTGTGGTCCATGTTAAACAGAATCCCAAGAGAGAATTGGGGATCAGACACAAACCCAATGCCTGCTTCAGGCAATGAATCACACTTTCCACATCCATTCTGCAGTTGTCTGCCTGATCACTGAGGGGACTAATAAATTGCACAGGGCTTCTGTGCAAGGGTATGAGAAGGAATATGGGAGGAGAGACATATTTGACCTCCAAGTATCAGAGATAGGCATGAAAACCCCATCAGTCCTAAAGGATTCAGGATCAGCTGCTAACTGGCCTGAACGTACCTCTTCACTCACTAAAACGGGCACAAACACGACAGTCATTCAATTTGGCAGACTAGTGTCAATGTGAAGGGAGAATGTCCCTTCCTGATAAGAAACTGCTTTGCGGGGGGATTAAAAGGGAGATCATAATAAATGTCTCCTCTACTGTGCCAACCCAGCTGGGGAAGTCCTTACAGGCCACCAATCTCACCATGACCTCTGCATGCCTGTCATTCAGAGGTTGCCAGTGTAATCATAGCTCCCAAATCAGTTTGCTGGTGGTCATTCATTCCCAAACTGGTTGTCAATACTGTAGTGAGTACCATATGCTGCCTGCTTCCACACAGCTACAGTGGCTCTTTCCTGGAAACCTACCAGTCCTGCGTTAGGATGCTGATTATTTTCCATGCCTGATAAAGTGCAAGCCACATGCAGGTCTTTACAAATGTCATCTTCCCCATCCTGAAATTCCCTCTATTTGTCCATGTAACTCCTCCCCAGCAGAGTTTCTTGCTCTGGAGGCTCTCAGAAGAGAATTGAGTATATTGTGTTGCTCCTCAGTGCCAAAATGCAAATGATGCTTGGCAGTGGTGTGGTACTTTTCTAAAGGCTGTTCCTAGGGACTGTTAGACATCCAATAAATACAACCACAACACAACAGAGTAAATTTTGCAATGTAAAAGGCAGATGAATGGAGCACTGGATGCATGCATTCTAGGAGATAGGATTGCATGCCAAAAGATACCACTGTTCATTTTTGTCCACACGTAACCTTGTACTTAAGTTTCTTTTGGCCAAAAATCTGTACTACTGTTTGATCCAGCAAGCACAGACCTGATTTGTGATCACAGAACCACAATGTGAATACTTATATGCAGAATTACTTCATTCAAAACCAATTTGCTATACATTCTTTGCCAAAGAATAAGTTATTATTTTCTTAAAGAACAAAAGAAAAAACATATAAGTCCCTGCTTTCAGACATTCAATTTTTTGCTTGACTTCACTCTGCTCCTTAAACTTTCAACCTAATTATTATCTGTCTGGCTATTTCTTGGCCATTTGGTCTCCTCTGACAACTTCATTTAACAGTGCTCTATTGTAAAATGCAGGCGAACCCAGTGGGAAGAAATTATGATGTCTGACTCTAATTCAGAAGGCTCAATGGCTTCTTCATTATAACTATGCTATAATACATTAATATACTATATACTCACTACCAACTCGTGACCCTGTTTGCAACAGTCTAGACACAGGTGGATCTAATTGGTCATCAGGCTCAAACAATCTTCACCAGAATCCAATCAATTCTCTAAACACATTCCACATGAGAAAAACAAGGAGCAGAAACAGAAATTGTTTTCTCTTTCTTCTCTCTATGTACCTCTATGAAAAATGCTGAGAGAGAGAGAAATGTGCTTACCACAGTGCTCTTTTACGTAACAGGATATACACTAACACCTTGGAATTCAGGGGGAACAAAAGCTTCAGAGGATTCAATAAAATATATATAACTGAGCTTCAGACATGCACTTATTTGTCACAGTGGATCAGGAGGGAGCTGGCATGGTACCTAGCTCCAAGGGCAGGCTTCCAGCTTGGGCACAATGCTCATCAGCAGCAATTAGCTAAGCATTAGTATAGTGAAATTCAAGTCAGATGCCTAATACACTGCTTAAAGTCTCTTCAGAGAAAAATGCCACTTCAGATGAAAAGGTAAATGTGACAGTGCTAATGAATGCTATCACACCATCTTCCTGATTTATTTTTCACATTTACAAAATACAAGGGCTTGGCTTTATTACATATTTCCTGAAGCATGGTTTGTTTAAATAAGTTATGGTGAGAGAAGTGTCATGCAATGAAGAAGGCATTTGTTTTCATTAGTCAGTATTATGCAATATAAGAATTGCATTCCAGAATTAAATTACAGATATATCAGCTGCCAAGCTCTGTGAACTTTAAACAGCAACATTAAGGAAGGACTGCAAATTGATCGTTTCTTCCTAATACTGGATTGAGATCAAATGGCACATTTTCACAATATATTTAAAAATTAACTGCTGGGAAGTACAAAGTTTACCAAAAAGCACATGAGAAAAAATCATCAGGTAGTAACAAGCAACTGAGGCAGCATCTGTACTTTTTAAGGGAACTGTCTATATAGGTACACATTATGTAGTGACAAAGCAGACCTGGGTTTGTAGCCCTCAAGCTCTGTTACTGGAAGACAGATGTGCCTGGTTTCATGGAAACTATTTAAATACAAAGGAATTCTGGCACAGCTTTCTCCCTGATGAGTTTTCTAGGCTGGTTTCCCAGCTCTTGGAAATTACAGATATCTACAACAGAACTGGAAGGTAGCTTAAAAGCTGGTAGGTATTACTGGGAGAAATGAGGCATGAAATAACCAGTCCCCAAAGTCAACAAAAAAATGGGGTTTGGATGAGTATGAATTTTGTGGCTTTGAATCCATGAAACAGTTGTGAGTGGAAACTGCCTTTGGTTGCCACAGGCTTCTGTCTGTCCACACAAAGTTTTTAAGTTAGAAAAAAAACCCCAGTTGCCAGAATAAAGTCACCTCCAAGAGTAACACCAGCCCTCCATGTCTGCTAACATAAAACAGCTCAGAGAAGATGTCAAGATGAACAAACTCCAGTAACTAATGGCAGAAGACATAAATCCCAGTTGTGGTGTTCTGTGTCTCCTGCCAGCACAATGATTCTCACTGAGGGTACACAGCACAAACGAAAAAGGAGCTAAGGATAGACAGATATAACAGTCATGCTATTAGCAGGAAATCAGCATTGTCCTGGTGGCCCTTTCTGAGGTAAACCTGTCTCCACAAGTACAACGGTTTACAGCTAACAGCATTAACTCTGTGAACAAGGAATAAACGAATGCCTAACAACCCAAATATTTCATGGAGAAAGGCTGGTTACCGTCAGAGTTTTAAGAGAAGATGGACAGTCATTACAATAGACTCTTATCACTTCTTGTTGCAGAACTACTGGTGTTCTACCTTGCCCCCCTCCACACTTCAAGACTTCTAAGGCATCCTCACAATAGTTTAGATATCTCATTTTACACAAACAACCATCCCACTGTTCACCAAGACTTGTGTTACTTTTACAAAAGAGCTTCAAGGATTGAGAGATCTACTACAGCTGTACTCTAAGGGGACTCAATCTTTGAGTACTCAAACTACACATCACAGAACTGCTGAGGATGTAAGAGACCTCTTGAGATCATCTAGTCCAACCCCCTGCTCAAGCAGGGTTACCAACAATAGGTTTTCCATAACTGTGTCCAGTAAGGTTGTGACTATCTCAATAGATAGAGACCACACAAACTATGCCAGCATTTGACCACTCTCACAGTCAAAAAAAAAAAAAGTGTTTTCTAGTGTTCAGATTGAATGTCATAGGGTCAGATCAATAGCTGGCTTTTGAGAGCTGGAGATAAAAAGGGGATGGAGTATCTACACTAATTTTCATTTAGGTGACAAATGTCCCTGTCCCAGTCATAATGGGCTGGGAAAGGTTAACAAATCTTTCAGGGGCTGAGGCACACAACTGGTTTACTGCCATTGTCACTATACTAACTAGGTAGACCCTGCCACAGTTGTGTCCGCTTAACTTTAGACAGAAACCACAAACTAAGCTAGTGCTAAATAAAGAGGTGAAGTCATTGTTCCTTCTCTCAGATACTCTGTGAAAGAAACAAAGCACAGCAGATGAACTCCCTACAGTACTATGGGGAAAGTCATCTCCAGGGTCCTAAGACCTATAAAAATTATCTCCAGAATCACTAGCTAGATTTTATATTTGGACATAGATTTTAGGGTCACAGCCCACCTATTCTCATTTTCAGGCCATTATAAGCTTATAAGAGAACAAGCAGCTATCTGATTTCAAGGAAAAAAAAAATCCCATAGAGAAAATAAATACAAAGGGACTAACTGTTTCAGAAAGCCTTTGAACTGCAAAATTTTAAAGGTACTTACAGTATTCTACTATAATATTGCTATATTTAACCAGACCTTTTTTTTTTTTTTACACCTCTCTTTTAGCCAATATAAGGGATAGGTAGTTTGGCTAATCTAGAGTCACCATTTTCCCCCCTCATATTAGGTGTGTGTCACCTCTTTACATTGTTGATGCAAAGCACGGATGCTTTTTGTTCTAGAGAAGAATAGATCAGACATTTTCTAGTGCAATCTACTGGAATGGCCCTTTTCATGTCTCTAACATGTCTTCAAACTATAAATAGTAACATGTGTGCATTTTTCTGCATACAGATAAACAGTACACACAAAGAGACTCTTCCAATTCTTTCATTTCTGCTTGTTGTTCTGATCTATTTGCCTTCTCACTTTGGTTTCATGACTCATTCTGCAACAATCTCACTTCACTTGTGGTGGCAGAAGAAAACCTCCCTGAAATAAATCAGCTATATAAACTACAATTTTAAGGGTGTCAGGTGCTCATTGCTGAAGTCTGTTGCCTCAAACAGCTGTTCATTTTAGTGTCTTGCTTCTACATTAGCTTTTGTTCTCTTCTCAGAAGCCATAACCAATACACAGACCACAGGAACAAGCATATGTTTTCAGAGTAGTTAGCAACAGGGTTTTGATCTTCAGAGGAAAAGAAAAATGTTCATTATGATCACGTGTTTGGCATGAAACAGAAAGAAAATGGAAAATGGAGTTTTTAGCCTGTTACTTAGCTGATACTGATGGTTCTTACTCATTTTAACATGCCTCCTTCTAAGAGCTCACCTTGTACATTGTGTGTATCTTTTCCCTTACCCTAGATTTTGGCCTATATGATTAGATGCAACTAATCTAACTTAGTTGGGTTTTTTAACTTTTAATTTACTGGCACAGGAGGTGACACTGAGATCAACAGATGAGGATTTCATGTCATCTCAGACATAAGCAACTCCCACACATTCTTTGTAGGAACTCAAAGAATGGCAATAAAAGAACCCACTTGTTTGCAGTTTGAATTCTGAATGTCTACATCCAGACAGAATGACATCAGAATACAAGTTCCATTTTTATGGGTTCTCTTCATACTTGGTGAACAGAAACAAATGCTTCTGAGAGGGCACTACATATGGTATCTTCCTTACAGTGAGATAACTCATACTCTAAATGTCCCTATTTCTTTCTTTTGACTGTAAAAACTCCACTAATGCCTAATGAGGCCATCCCATATACTTGTGCATTCTGTACTAATCAAGTCTCTCCATCATCATCTGTTTTTTATGTGTCTTAACTGAGTTTAGTCTTGCTGGGGCTCAGTTGCCAAGGTGGTTGCTCTTCTCCTTGTACTCACATGAGCTCAGTTGCTAGACTAGTCTTGCAGTAGGTGGAAGAGAGGTCAGGCCTCCCATCTGCTTCTTTAAGCAGCCTGGACAGCCCCCAGGGCTTCGGCCTGGAGTGACCAGAGTCAGCAAAGAGGCGAGGCAGCAGGGCACTGCCATCCTTACCTCGTGTGTGCTGTCACTGCGCCCCCATGGAAAACCATGGAAGTTTTGATCCTACAAGCAAGTAACATTTAAATACACTTCTACACATAGGTCTGAGTTTATTCTCAAACCTACGTAGTTTTTCTTAATGATTGCATATACAGATAAATATATTTTAAAAAGCCTAAACTTACCATGACCTGGTGAGAAAACATCATCCACAGAGTTTAGACATAACACTGGAATTCCTACTGACTTCAGCTTGCGACATGGGCTAGCATCTTCATAGTAATCATCAATTGAACGGTAGCCAAACATGACTGAAGTGAATTGCTTATCAAATTCTCTAATAGTTCTAGCCTGAAGTACAGAATTCAAATAGGGAACTATGTCAGCATTTGGAAAATGACATCCAGCTCAAGCAGAAGTAACATTTTCACATACCTTCATCACAAGATCCATATCAAATAATTTCTCCAATATTTGTCGATGCCTAAAAAGAAGAATACAAAAATTGGAGGGCTTGTATATTTGTTATGTAAACCAACATAGAATTTCTCTGCTTTACAGAATCATTTCTAGAAGTAACTGTCTAACATGCTTGTTTTTAATTTTCTGTCAAATCAAAAACCTGTCTAGAATCCAAGAGCAGAATAATTGTTCATCCATATGTAGGCACATCCAGAAACATGGTAAAAATCTCCATAAGCCTTGAGAAAGATGCCAAAGATAAGAGAACTTAATATTTGAGAATACAAAATACACTCTGCTTTTATAAAGCCAATGATGAACTAGGCCTTTCTGTGCTTTTGCAGCCAACACCAAGTTAAAAAATTATTATATTTGCAAATCTACTCAAAGTCAGTATGTGCAAGTCTAAAAATTTTTAAAATTTATTTACCTCATCTATAGATACAAAAGTAAATTGGGCTTGTTGCAAGTCCCTTGAGCAGCATATAAGTTTAGTCACGTTGATGACAAACATTCTTGAAAATATCTTTTTGATTTCAAAGCTTACCAAATAATGCACAAAGAACAACTAGAGTTGTTACAGCATTCATTTTGCCAATATTTTTATACCTGCTGTTGATCTCATGTTAAAATCTTTCCACCTTGCTAAATAGTTCAGAAGGCAACTCACCTGCTGATAGAGGATTGTAGACAAGTGGTCAAGTAATAGTTGAAAAGAAGCCAGTTTAGTGGCTTCTCCAGAGATTCTATAGATTCAAAAACATTCCAACCCGCAGAGAAAATTGCAGCTGCCATTAAAGGAGTGTCTCTGCCAGTTTTTCCCAGATAATTTAAAAGAAGCATGCTACAAATGAAAAACAGAAACATACATACTATCAAATTGTTTGCTTCAGTTTAGAGTAAATGCAACAGCCATGTTTTTGTCTGGTTTTCAATAGTTTCTTGTATGAGTCCTACAGTTGTGCCTAGTACACCTAGCAGGTAGTCACCTAATCAACATATGACTCATGAGGTTTACTTTGTCTACTATCAGAGAGGAACAGGTTGTGTAGGATGTGAGTAGGAGTGCATGAATTAGTCTTACTTAAATCACTAAAGGGAGGGAAAAGTCAAATTCTTACATGATTCTTACTCATGGAACAAGTATTCCCAAGCATTAGTAACTTTTACCATCTTACAAGTTCCTGGTCTTCCTGATGCGATAACTCTGATCAGCGTGCCTGACAAACACAAGCTGCCCCCGGCACACCTGCCTCATTAAGAAGAAGTTTTTTCAGGTTAAGGTAGTGCCATTACCTCACCTCACACATATGAAAGAACATAGCTCCTCCTTAACACAAAGTATGTGAAATCTTGGATAATGAAAACAACTAGAGAAACTAAATGTCCAAAATAAATGGCTCAGGTTTTGTCTTTCTGATCAGTTGCAACGTATAGTCTCTACTGCTAATGTACACTTGAGTTGGAAATGGGGGGAGTTCACAAGTATCTACTCTTCAAATGTAGAAAAAATAAAACAGCAGGAAAAGAGAAAAACAAAAATACTAGTGGAAAAGCTCTAAGTCTTACTTTACTGCCTGAGACCATAAAGTTTACAACAAGCATTTTAATACAAAATCTTCAACACAAACCACTACAGTTATTAGTAACATTAAGATAGCTCCCTGAATTGTCACACTCGGTACCTTGGCTCATCTACTGTACTTCAGGAGACAGCAACCTTTAGCAAAGACATTATGAACCAGCCTTCCATCACAGACTTTATCCCTCTACACTACCTTCCACATCATAGAACAGCAGTCCAATAAACCAACAAAAAAAAAGTTGCAGTAGCAGAAGAAGCACTTCTCTAACAGAATTCACAGAGAATATGTGGTAGAGAGAAGGCCTAGGAATCTTTATGTTACAAAATGAAGTCCCTTTTCACAATAATACCTAGAGAAGATAGTAGAACAGGTGGTCTTTCATTTACATTTATATATGTCTGTGAAGTGAGTATCTATTTTAATTCCAAACTGGGGCAAATCTGTCTTATATAGATGATCTGACTATTCAGAAAATTCTGCAAAGCAGTAGATAAAAATTCCTGTAAGCTTAAGACAAGTAGATGATTTTTGCAGTATGTCCCTAATGAGATCTTTGCTCCTGCTTAATTTTAAGCATTCGGTGCTCCAATTAATTTTGAAGCAAGAAAACCGTTTTAATATAGAAAATTATAGACTGTTCTAGTGTTCTGTACAATTAAGCATATGCTTTCTGGTTGTGGTTCAGGATTTTAAAAACATATTGGAGGGGGAAGGTGGAACACCCTGCCTAAAATTGCCCAGTGGTGCTGGTTACATATAAGCCAGGTATACAACATAGATTCCCATTGTAACAAGACTTTGTCAGTACTTTGGATAAGCCAAGGGCAGAAATGACACCAAGGGCTGATGTGCCCTTTTGTACCAGTCTCAGAACTGCCAGCTTCTACCACACCCTCAACCCTTCATAACTGCCAGGCACAGGGAATTGTAGCCATCCCAGCATCAACTGCCACAGCACGGCACAAGCAGACCAGATTTTCAGAGAGTGTAGAGGACAAAATTTTGATATACCAGATATAGATAGGAAAAATATTATTTGGATCTGCTATTCATATGTAAGGAAGAACTGGTCAGGTAGAGAAGATGTAGAACAGTCTTGGCCACAGAGATGATAGTGGATTTTTAAGATGAGAAGTCAGTGGGTAAGGTAAGCAGCAGAATTACAATACCGGAAGAGAGCTGGCTTTCATTTACCCAGGTATTTGGTTGGCAAGATCTTACCTTAGATGGCTGTGATGAGCAAAGAGGACTTCAAGGATAACCAAACATAAACCAGAAGTTGATACATTCTGATATGCAGGAAGTTGAGCAAGAGAAGCAGAAAACCACATGGAGGGAAAAAAAACCCTTCTGACCAATTTCAAGGAGGAAGTATCCTTAAGGTACAAGACAGGTGGTCTACCTGGGAAAACAGTCATTGCCCAAGCATGCAGGGATGCAGTTAGGAAAACTGAAGTTCAGCTGGAGCTGGAACAAGCAAGGGATGTGGAAGACAACAAGGGAAAGGTTTCTGCAGCAAGAACGGCTTCTGTAAGTCTTTTGGTACAAAAGACGACTCAGAACAAACAACATCCTCAGAACAAACAACATTCTCTTCTTTCCCCTCATCAGTGAAGCCAGTCATCTCTTCATGGAATGCAATCAGATCACCTGGGCATGTTTTGTCCTTGATGAAAACAGTCACCATTATTCCCCATATGCCTGGAAATGGCTCCCAGAGGATATTCCCAAAGAACTGAAGTTAGGCTGACTAGCCTTTTACCTCCTGGGACCACTATTCAGAACAGGGAACCTAGTGACTAAAGATTTGCAAAAAAGCAAAAAATAACAGTCTTGAGCAAATATGTATTTATCTCAAAGCTCCTACAAGTCATTGATAGATTAATGGCAATATATAGTAATATATATAATATCAGTATATATGGGCTGTATCTGCCTATCTCCCACTAAATTTATCAGAGAAAAGGGAAGTCTCAGGAAGTTACTACTGTGTCTGCAGTATTCCTAAGGAAAATTCTCCTCTACTACAATTTTTGTTAAAGAGGCTGCTGGAATATTTCTGCTAGCTTCCAGCAGTGATTTTTTATTTTTTTCCTAAGAAACTGTGCTATCATTGTCTGTTCTCACTGTGCTTTATGGAGAGAAGCCAGGAAACAGCAAGTCTTAATATCACATGCTCTACCAATCCATATCGGTTTGAACAACAGTACTACTTCTTGCTTCTGAGCCAAACAAAACAGATATCCACACCTCTTCTAGCCTAACCTACCCACACACTGCAGAACAGAGTGAAGACAAATCTTATTACCAGAGGCTGCTATGAAACATGGTGTATTAGCTCAAGATCCAATTTTATATCCATCTATTCTGAAGACAGTCTCAATAGTTTCTGAAGACTGTATTGCCTACCTGTTTGGCTGTCAAGCTGCCTGTCACTGTTTCCCGTCTTTCTCTATCCCCCTCCCCCCAATTTTTAAAAGTTAGCCAATTTCAACCTTCCCTGACACAGAGGTAAAAGCCTCAAAGATACAAAGTTTCTAAAAGTCTTCTGCATATTAACTGGTGGAGAGAAACCCAACTTGCTTTCAGATCAGTAAGCAATTCAAGTATTCCAGAGTAATAATTTACAATCAGGCTACACCAGTCTTATGATCACAGTTAGGCTGAGACTTGTGTTACACCACCTTACCCTCCCATAGAAACACCTGCTGCCATAAATGGAGCTGAGGGGTGCAAGCTGTGCACATGATGAATAACAGTCTCTAAATCCTCTGTGTTAGCTGCACAGTAAGTCCTTGGTGTCTGTAACGAGTCAAGAAGGAAAAAAATGCCATCATAAGCTTTTGTATTATCCTTTAAGGACAAAGCAAACTGAACAGTGAATCATTATATAAGAAGATAAATTTAGCATTTATTGTGAAGCTTCACTGAATGGCCAATAGAAATCCAGAACGTTTCACAAGAAGGTGAAGGAAGGAGTTATGCTTGTTATCATTACAAAATAAAAGCGGTGACAGCTATCTTCAGTATCTGCAACCTCGAGGTCATTAGACAAAATCTGAACAGAGAACAATGTGCTAAACTAGACAGAACTAGATCAGAACTAAATAGACAGTGATATTTTTAAAATACCCCAAGGAAATGGAAACTTTATAAATGCTGTGGTTTACAGAAAAGAAAGTCGTAACAACAATTTTAATATATTCACCCACATTGAAATGCAAAAGAGAGCATTAGATTTCAAGTTCTGTCAGCCAGCATTTGAAAACTAACCCACATTTAGATTCTACATAAAATACAACCAAATAAACAGATAAATTCCCCAGTGTAGTTTACCTAATTTAGTAAATTATTCTATTAACTAAAGCAATGAAACAGATATTATCAGTTCTTTATCCATCATTAGTGTCTCTTTAAATCCTGCACCGAGACTCGGAATGACTTCTGCTGGCATCAGGTTGGGTAACCCCTTGGGTAAGATTTGGTTAACCACTTCCCTGCTACTGAAGGATAAGCACAACTTTTGAGCCTCCCCTGCACAGACACCTGGAACAGTCCAATCTGAGGGACTATCTGGAGCAGTATGAGGGAGACAAGTCTATTTAGGCACCGTTAGAATCACAGCAACATGAGTTTCTTTCTAACGGTGTTGTCCAGATTTCATTTACAGAGAAATAAAGTTTTTAACTTTAAGGCTGCTACGAACATGTTAGTCACCTGGACTTAACTATAGGTAATGACTGAAACTGCCAAAATTCAGTGACACATTAAAACTAAATATAAAAATACATAACCATGAGTTAATGGAAATTTTATGTTGCCTGAAGCAACAATGGATTTCAAGGGTGTTTTTTTAAATTGCTTTCAGTTAAACTGCCTGGCTATTTGTGGGTGATTTTAACAACATTAAACTAATTACTTAGAACACATTTAACAAGAATATTGAAATGTTGACATCAAAGATGAGGAAATGGAAAGAAAAGCTAAATTTAGATAATTAAAACTGAAAACATTTTTAATTTCCATTTATGTTGCATTTTCATTTCTCATCCACATTAATCATTCTTCACTGTTTCACATCCTATTAATTATAAACAGTGTGAATGTGTTTTATTTTAATTAAAGTCAACCTTACAAGGAAAAATAAATTATTTTTGATAACTAGGATCTAAGGCATTCTAAATGAAAGTGTATTTGATTAATGCTTATAAAACTAAAGATATAGCACCCATTTTAAATTCAGTTAATTCCAGACAGTTTAATGTTTAGCTATCTACAATTTGTATGAATATATTTTAAAATACCATCTTAACTCACAGTGGCTATGATCAATATAATATTTGATTATTTCAGAGCAGTAATTTACAATACCTTTCAATAATCAATCAGTATAGTATTTTTAAAATAATTATTATTTATTGTAAATTTGAATCTATCTTTAAAGTGACTAGAAAAACAACTGCTTACATAACTAATTTCTACTGTGGTGCTTAACTATGCCTCAGACTCATTAAGTAGGGATTTTATACTATAATGTTAAAACTTCTTTGCAGAAAATGTGATCATTTCAGCTGGTTTGCTGCACCACAAGAATTTACACAGCTTGAAGATGTAAATCCGATTACAGTAAAATACACACAATGTATCCAAACAAGGGATCTTTTCTCTAAATGATTCAGAAATTCATCAATAAGGACTTTGTGTGTCATAAAACTGCTTTGTAGATCCATCTCCAAAAGTATGCAGAAAACTACTATTAACATGCAATATTTGCATTGAAATGGTTTATCTGATTATGGAAAAACATTCTGAGCTTTTTAAAGTTTGAAACCAGGGGATTAAATAAATGCTAAACAATACCGAGTATTATGCACATTCATTCCAGCTGCAGAATTGTCAACAGAATGCATATGAAAAAACAAAGCTTATTCAGCAATATTTCATCATGCCTTGTCCCTAGCTGCAGAAAACATTTAGCTTCAAGATTTTTTCATCTGAGGAATGGCCAGTTATTTCTAAGCAAACATGATATGTCTGTCCCAAAAAAATTGTCCTCTGTAGCTGAGTTTTTGCATTGATTGCTGAGAAAAATGTGAGAACGCATTAACTTTCAGGATGCAGATATCCATGTAAAGCCGGTTCATTAATTTACTAACATGTAATATGGATCAATTTTAATGGTACACCTTTTTAACCATATCAAAAATATAGTTTAAACTGGGAAAGAAATTACAGTGGATTATATTTGGATATATATGTTAAATTAATGGGAGAAAATTGCAACGCTTGAGCAGAGATGTACACAATTTAGATACTACACCATTTTTTGAAAGAAAATGAAAGGATTGCTCATTTTAGTGTTACAGATATTATTAATTGAACTTAAAATGAAATGTTCAGAAAAAATTGTGTTGGCCAGTTGACTCTCTAGGGTTTCAAAATAAGAAATTAATATTGGCACATGATTGATCTACCAGATGGCTGAATTCTCTTCTCTGCATTTTCAGCCTATGCTCTGAGTTTCTCTCATTTAAATCCAACTGTACAAATAGGCACAAATGGTTTCATAATTACCACTTATAAGTGAGAGATGCTTATCTTAGAAGTCATCCTTACCAAAAGCTCCTCGCCAGCAATTCCCCGATTGTTAAAAACCACGCATCTAAAAATTGAGACAGTAAATTCAATTGTGCACATTGTTAATTTCACCAAAAGAGATAACTTAAGCACACAAAAAAAATGAAAATGCATAAAGAAAAATGAGCCACTTCTATGAATAAGTTCAGCACATAAATATTTACAGACCTACAGATCCTAGAGGCTGACCTGTGTGGAACAAGCTTTGCACCAAAATGGAGTTCGCTGAGGTCAGTGGGACTATCAGAGCTCTGTGATTTGTCGAGGTCAGATTGCAGGGTGAAAACCCCAAGGATTGGCTGAAGGTGGTACAGACATGTCCTGCCTGCCCTCTGCAATGAGCTCTGACAGTGCAGGGCCCAGCCTAAAGCTGTGCCCTGAAAAAAGAACGTCAGAGATCTGTGTGTAGACATCCCCCAAAGCTACATAATTCTATTAAATTGGAAGAAATTATCCAAGTCAAAATGATAATGACAGCTGGATATAAGTTGCAGGTTCTTGGGAATGTGGGGTTTTTTTTCCCCTCTGGTACAGCAGAAGTTTCTGGTCTGTTTCTGTTGGTGGGAGTCTCTGCATCTTCTAGCAATATTACCATGATTTAAGAATCCATACTTTCTCAAAAAATATTACTTTTCTATTGCTCTTCTACCATCTCACTGAAAGAATTTTATTAAATAATATAAATAGTTAGATGGGTTAAATAATATTTTGACAGTTTTATCAAATGTTGCTATTTAAACACAAAATTATAGCATTCTCTTGAAATCTGACCTAGAGCTCCACTTTTTAATGTTCTACCTTCTGCCCTTAGGAGATGAAATGCAGATATAACTTCCAGTTTAAAAATTAATAGTAACAAGTTGTTGATTTCAGGTCTTTCCTCTGATATTTTTTACTGCTAAGTTTTAAGGCGATTTAGAAAGTACTTTGAACAATTAAAGAGCTGCTTTGCTTTCATGATTTAGTAAAGTAGTTCTCCAAATAGAGAAGAGATAGCCAAACATGTAGATAAAAGCTAATATATACATATTCAAAGAACTTACTGGAGTCAGCACCAGAAGCCAATCTGCAAAGACAAAATCTAATATTCCAAAAACAGATCCTGGAACAATGACAACTTATTTTAATGTTCAGCAGCAGCAATATGGTTACATAAAGGAGTCTACTCATTGACTAATCCACTTATGTTACCCAAATCTGACCAGGAGCCCTAAGAAAGAAACTGAATTACACAGTGACAATGAAGAGGTGACAGACCCCCTCAAACGCCATCAGTAAGTGTAGGCTAGCTCTCCTTTCTGCACCCAGGAATTTGAAGCTGCTGAATCGAGCAATTTTGGCATTCAGAAGCTGACCTCCTCCAAGGCCTACTGCCAGCAACTATCCACACAAGTTTTCTTGGAGCTGAATACAAACCCTTCCTCTAGAAAGTGTAAAGGTTAACACCTAACATAACAACTTAAGAACCAGCAGCAAAGCCCTATGCAGACTTAGCTGGCATTCACTGCAATCTCTGGGGCACACCTGTAGATATTAAAACAGCCCTTCAAAATGTACTGCCTGTTATATAATTCCACTTGATTATTATTACTAATAACACTTTCTTACATAAACTACTGTATTCAGATCTCATTTGCCTCAGGAAAGCATCCAATATATATACATACTGATATTGGATCCTACCAGAAGCAGCAAAATGAATAGCAATGAAAAACAACAGTACCTATATCCCAGTGTTTCACTTTGATGGATCATATGAAGAATGTAGGATTCCTTGCTTGTTCCTGTCAGGCCAGGCAATAATAGGACAGTGGGTCTTGTGTTGGCATCTGGATAATATGAGCTGTCATTATTATCAAACCAATCCAACGAAATCTGTCCTCCATCTGCTGTTTTAATGAGCTCACTGAAAGGTACATTTTAAGACAACACTGATTAGATTGAAAAATACATACATGCTATTAAGAGTGCTTGCAGTTTACAAATTAAGAGGTATGAATTCTGCATTTTTCATTATGTTTTAATACTCAAAGTGCCCCCTGACTAGGCATGCCTGCATTCAGAAAGAGTTACATGTACAGCTGACAAGAGTTAGAACAGTCAATTTGCAGAGTAATTCCCATCCACTAAATGAAGACAGTAAATGGAGACATGGCCTTTCATAAATTGCTGCTGATGTGCTGGAAGCTTGTAACTAATGTGATTTTTGGCACTGCCTTGTGTTTTATAAAGGCATTTTTGTGTACTACAGAGTTCCTTTGAATCATCTGAGAATCTTTTGATAGCACACTGGGTAATGTGATAAACATCTATCACTTTCTTTTTCCCCCCTCTTCATCCAAAGAAGTAGAATGTATAATGGATTGTTATGTTTTAAGCATGCAGAACACAGACACACACAACTGCATCTTTCACCTCGTATCACTACAGACTGTGCTAGAATGCACTCTTACAGCATATATCTTAATAATGCAACAAATATTGTAATATCTCAGGAAGATATGCATGCATTAAACAATGACAATAAAGTTTCACTCTTTTTTATAGAAACATACAAATCTTCCCACTTCCTGGAAATTTGAAAATGCTACTTTACTTTTGTAATTTAGAAAAGTAGTTATCCAAATGGAAAAAAGATAGCCAAACATGTAGATAAAAGCTAATACATACATATTTTAATGGTTTGAGGGAGTTGGTGAGGACACTGCTGAAGTGTAAGCCTACCTTGCATTTTGTTTTTCTTTTGAAATTCTTGGTAGTGACTACTGCAGATTTTAAAGGTGACCAACCTTGTCGGACTCATTAGCTCAGCTTTGCCCTTTTTCAGTAATGGGAAGTAGATGCACTGCTAGTGAGTACTGCCAACACAATCCAAAATGCTGCAAAATAAGCACTGTTCCATGGAACTATGTTTCTTTTCTCAAAACCCTTGAAATAAGAGTGTACAAGAAGGACTAGAAGAAGTGGACATGGCCATACCACTGAAATGTTTCCTAGTTACTAAAACTAAGGGAAGCTGCTAAATGCTAAATCTATTCTACAGTGCAAGAAGAGCTGAAACAACTTGTGTTGCATCCAGGTTCCGGCGCATAAAAGTCCTTCTCCTCAGGTCTTGTGCCAAATGCTTCATTTGCCAGACTAAGTCTTATTTCTGTGTGAAAGAGATCAGCTGAGGACAAAAAATAAATATAAGGCATTTTTTCCCTCTTAGAATGAAGGAAATGTTGCCTCTTTCATGCCTCTTAGGCTTGAAAGAACACAACAAATACTCCACAGGTAAAAGTTACTCTGAAAATCCCAATTCTGTATATTCAGAACAAGGCTGAATGTGGCTGTGCTATGGTTAAGGTACAACATGTTGTTTTAATGTTTTAATTGTTTTTGTTTTAGCCACACAGTGACTGCATGATCTTTGAAAAGTTATGGCATTCCAACACCAGAATATTTGATACGCCAAGTAACTGTGCTACCATTCAGAGAGGCCTCTACAGGCTGCAGAAATGGGTTGACAGGAACTTCACAAACTTCAGTGAGGGGAAGTGCAAAGTCCTGGGCCTGGGAAGGAACAACCCCATGTACTAGGAGAGGCTGCCCATGTGGAAAACAGCTTGGTAGAAAAGGACCCAGGAGTCCTTCTAGTGGACATCATGTTGAACACGAGTCAGTAATGCGTCCTTGCAGTAAAGATGGCCAAAAGTCTGGAGGTTGTAGAAGCTTAGAAGGAGTATAGCCAGCAGATTGAAAGAGACAATCCTGCCCCACTATATGGAGCACTGGTGAGGCCATACCTGGAGTACTGAGTCCAGCTCTGGGCTCCCCAGTCCAAGGCAGACTTGAACATACTGGAGATAAGCAAAGGCCCAGCAAAGGGCCACAAAGACGATGAACAAAATGGAGCCTATCTCCTATGAGGAAAGGCTGGGACAGCTGGGATTGTTCAGTCTGAAGAAAAGGCTCAGAGGAAACTTAGCAATGTGTTTACATACCTGAAGGGAGGGTGCACAGAGGATGGAGACAGGCTCCTTTCAGTGGTGCCCATTGACAGAACAAGAAGCAATGGGCCCAACCTGAAGCATGGGAGGTGCCTTCTGAGTATCAGGAAACAAATTTTCAATGTGAGAGTGTGCAACTGAGCACTGACACCATTTTCCCAGGGAATTGTGTAGTTACCATCCTTATGGAAATCCAAAAGCTATTTTGACATGATCTGGGACAATTGGCTCTCTGTGACCCTACTTGAGCAAAGTAGTTGGACTAGGTGACCTCCAGAGGTCTTTTACGATCTCATCCACTGTGTAATCATGTGAACATATAACCACATCAGTTCCTCTATCATCACCTAGTTTCACCTCTATCATACAAAAATGCTATTTTGTAGCATTTCATTGCTACAAAACTCTGAGCTAAAATAGGGTCATTTGGAAACACTGACCTTTCAAACCTACTTCATATTGAATCCATGATAAAGGTAGTTCCAAGTCTATGACAAAGTTGTAAAGGTGGGCATAAAGAAAAAAAAAAAAAAAACATGCACAAAGTTGAGCAATGACAGTGGGTGTGACACAGAGTAAAAGAACAGCTGGATATCAAAGCAATCACTTTCCAGAATACCAGAATAAAGGCACTTACTTCCTGTACTGTACTTGGGGTCTAGATGTGATAAAGGGGCGCAGGAGTGTCTGTACACGACCTTCCCAGCACCAAATCGTGGGATAGTAAGTTTCTGTCACAACAGGGCAATATTCCTCAAGAAAGCGGCAGAAACGGTCATTGCTTGCCACCAGCTGGGGTTTCTAGGAAAAGAGAATACAGTCAGACATGGGGTTTCTTATAAAACAAACTAAAAAACAACAACAAAAAAAAAGCTTATTTAATTCCTCTCTCAGTGAATTAATTTATTCATATAATCATTTGCAACGCTCTTACCTTTAATAGTAGAGAGAGAAATAAATGAAAACCAAACAAAATGCCAAAATGCCCAATGCAAAAAGTGAAACCCATTAAGCATAATGGATTCCTTACCTATTTCTAATAACACACTAGTAGATCACTAGCTCTACTTTTACCAGTATTGTATCTTTACTGACAAATTAAAATCACACTATTTCTTAGTAAACAAGAAAGATTTTACCAAGTCAGTTTTCTTGAACCACACAAAAATGACATTTAATTCACGTATGGACTTTGACCACAGTACCTTTTTTAACCTGGTAAGACACTTTTCCCATCTCATCCTACAGTACACAAGTGCATCAGTTCCTCCTTTCTAATAATGCTCTGCATGCATTGCTTACAGTTTCCATTTGTTTACCAATCAACATGGAAAAGTCCCTGTATACCAAACATCTCAGATTTTAACAACCATATTTCTTATACCACTCTGTCACAATGACTCCCCAGTGTCAAGCATCAATAGGACAATAACACATGCTTTGAGGAAAACCGTTCCACATAAACAGCTGTAAGGGCACATCCTTAATTTTTTTCTCCTCTGACTAAAATCAAGTACTCTCCTCACTATGAAGAGGAAGGCTGTGTTCCCAGTGGTTCTCTGAAGGACTGTGGCAACACTCAGGTCCCCGGTCAAAAACCTTTTGCTATGCGTACTTTCAATTGATTACGCATTCAACGAGGCGCTTCAGGGGAGGGCCACTTCAGATCGCGTCAGGCTCACTGTATCCAAGTAATTTGCGATTGCCTAATTTATCTGTAAAACTACGGCTGATAAGGAGATACCCAAGAGTGCTCCAGCCCCCAAAACGCTGCCATGGTGCCCCCAAAGGTACTTAGGATAGTACCGACGGGTACACAAGGGCAGCAAAACTACTTTTATCACTTGCCAAGCTACTGAACCAAGTAGGTCGGGTTTGTGTTGTGGAGGGCAGTGTCCTAACCTCCCTTCCCAAACCGTGGCACCCGGCCAAGCTCTCTAACTGGTACAGTTGCATTTTGGGGACTGCCGAGACCGGAGCCCCTTCCCCTCCGGACCGAGCAGGACCCGGGGAGCCCCCCTCACCGCAGGCCGGCGGCCTCCGGGGGTCCCCGGCAGTCCCTGCGGAAGATGCGGCCGCGGCGGGCGGGGAGGCTGCGCTGCCGGGCCCGGGTAGGGCTCAAGCGGGGTTTCGGCCGGCCGGGACCCCGGGGCGGCACCTCCAGGGGACGGACGAGGGATTTGAGGACAAGGCGGCTGCAGAGCCCTGCCCCCCACCTCACCCCCCAGCCATTCCAGGTGCGATCCCCTCGCCTACGGGCGGTGGGTCGCCGTGACCTTCGGGACTGTCCCCATCGGCGGGACTGTCCCCACCTGCGGAGCCCGCCCGCCCCGCCGCCCTCCCGCTCACCTTGGCGATGCTGTTGAGGTAGTAGCAGGCGTAGGCGACACCGAAACCCAGTACCAGGGACAAGCCCACGCCGGAGCCGAAGAACCCCACGCGGACCTGGTTCTCCAGGTAGAGGGAAAGCTCCCTGGTCAGCACCTGCCAGTCCATGGCACACGGGGCACGGCACGGCAGGACACCACACCCCGGCTGCCGCGGGCGAGCCCACCCCGGCGCCGAGGGAGGAAGAGGAGGAAAGGGAGAAGGAGGAGCCGGCGCCCGTCTCCCGCTGCTGCTGCTCGCGGCCCGCTGGGCGCTGCAGCGCCGCCCCGGGACCGCCCCCGCCGCGGCCACCGGGGCCTGCAGCTGCCGTGGGGAGGCCGGGGCCGGGCTCGGTCGCAGCTTGCCTCGCAGGGGACGCGGTCCTGAGACCCGCGGAGAACGCGGCAGTGCTGCCGGCATCGGCCGCCCCACGGCAGGTGACATCTCGGCGCTCCTTCGGTGTCACCTTGCCCCGTCGCTTTGCCGGGAGCGCGTGTGCGGGTGAGATGGGAAGGGGACCCGTCCAAAACCGTAAGGAGCAGCCGATGCAGGTGTGTGGAAACTCAGTCACTGCCCGGCAGGGAAGAGGGAACATGGGCTTCCAAATGCAGCAGTGGCTAATCAGCAATCTCTCTCTAAATATTTTACGTGAGACAGTAGTGTGCTACTGCTCTTCCACTTAGACTGATGATACAAGGCATTAATAAAGACCAGAGAGGAGTAGAGGTATCTCCAATTCCCAAGAGAATTTTGGCCAGCTCCCTTTTCAGCTGTATGGATTATTGTTTGGAGGCCCTTGTGTTTGCTAACTCAGCTTTATAAAAAAATGCACAGTATCTGTGTCTTTTCCTTGGCAAAATCCTAGGAGCACAGCTGATAACACGAAGATCCTGGAGATGAGCATCTGCTATTTGAGATGCATCCACGCACCGCAGTACACAGAAGTACTTTTCCTCTCCTTATTTTATGGCCCAGCTCCATGAACTGCTGAAAGAAGACAGACGTTGCTCAGTGAGACTTCACTTCTTACCTTATCTGTGTTTTCTTGCTATATCCAAATTTAAAAATTTACAAAAAAAAAAAAGTAACAGCAGAAAAGGAGATGTGGCCTTTTTCATTTGCTGCTCCTCCTAACTAAGACACAGCTTACCAGAGAGATTCTGCTTTGACATAAAACATCTTGGTCCAAAATGTTTTTGTTCACCATGGTAAGACTAACGACAGTGTATTGCAGAGATCTGAAGAATTTTTGAATACCTATTCTTCCTATACAGTCAGCTGTCCAAAGTTGAAAAGAGTATGGGAATTGGTAAGCAGAGGCAGGGATGGTCTGAGGTTTGTTTTTTTTCCCCAGAGCTGTTACAGAAACAGGAAATCGAATGGGTGGAAACCTACTATCATCAATGCTGCACTTCCTCTGCTGATGGAGAATAACCATACCTAGGTTTTGGCTCTGACTTGCTGGGAGTGTGTACAGTACACCCCAGATAACAGGATTTATCATGAAGGGACACTCTAGTAGGAGAGCTGGAGTACATAGCTCAGTTTGAGAACATGTAGGCTTCATCTGCAATGTGAACTTTGAAATCTTCAGAGACAATAATTTGGCTGAACTGACAACTAGATTTTGGGATGCAGAGGGGCCTGCTACATCTGAATGGGGAACTGGTTTTGCTTGCAGCAGACTGTCCTGTATCTGAGTCCTGTCCTCATTAACCTGAAGAATCCTTGAGTCACCCAAAATCTAGAGAAAAGAAAAAACCCAAATGTCTAAGAAAGAAGAGGACACAGCCTGTGTCCTTGGGTCTAGAAGGCTTCTAAATGCATATCCATCAGTTTGACTGAAAAGTGGAAGGTGTGGCTGTTGATGGTTAGAGAAGGCCTTTGAGTCATACAAATCCAGTAGTTTAATGACTTGATCGACAATCAAGAGAGATTGAACGCTGAAAAACCATCCAGGCACAAAGGTTGATTAGGTTTATCTGGTCTTGGACTTCCACCTACCCTGTGTTGGTTATGTATGGGAATATCAACAAGGTCAGGCACATGTGGCATGTTGCTGGCAAACTGAAACAAATGACGCGCTGAGAAGGGCTGTGGGGTTTGGGTTTTTTACTGTGTAAACATGTTGCTACATTGACAACAGCAGTAATGTTAATAACTTCCTTCTGCTTCAAGCAATCCCCATCAGATCCTCTGGTTCTGGTGTTGGGTTTTTAAAGTCTTTAAAATGTTGTCCTTTGGCCTACAACTTATTTTGCAGAGCTGATAAAGAAAAGGCTGTATTGTACTCATACTACAACCACTTCCAAGTGATGGAGTCATTGCAAATTATGTGTGTGTGAAAAAACGAGGTGGTCATTATGGTGTTTTGAAAACTTACTGCATTTTTTTTCAGAGAAGCAAAGTCCACATTCCCAGAGAGAGTTTCTGTTTGCAATATGCTCTCTTCTCTCCAAGTGCTTTATAAAACATTTGCCTCAACCCACTACTAATGGATTATAGATTAAGCAGAAACAAAAGGGCACAGGACTGTTCTTTCATAGTCTCCCTGTTGTATTGTGTTATTTAGTTTGTCCCTGTTTTTCTCTCATTTATGGTTTCATCCCAAGTTGTCTCCCCTTCCCTAAATGTCAATCCCATCCCCACTCCTCCCAAATCCCTAGAAATTTCCTTGTCAGTCCCCATAGCCCCTTCCTGGCACCTTGTCTGTCACTTGACTCTCTGGAAGCTTCCACAAAGGGCGTCGAGTGTTTGGCCAAGGGCCAGGGGTCCCTCCTCCTCAGCTCCCCGATATGTTCTCCTACTTGACAATTACTTCGTGTCCCACTCCCCTCTATCCCCTTGGTGGATAGCCAAACCCCTTCCTTGTTTCCACCCCATAAGGAAAGGGGCTGCTCCAGAGCCCTTGGAGGCTTTCTAGCATTGTGCTCCTCATTCCAGATGCTTCCTTGGAGCTACCAAAACACCTCAGATTTGTACAATGTGGATTTGTCTCCTCCCGGTTCCCTCACCATCGCCGGCAGTGCCTTCCAAGGAAAGGGCTCATAACCCTTATCCTCTCTCCTGCGCTCCTGAGCACAGAAGGGTGTCCATCCCCTGCAGCCACTGTGTCGGAGCTAGCAGGGAGGCACCAGGAAGACTTTCAGTGGACACTGCGGCAGCTTGGCGCCCACTGCGGGCCCCAAAAACCACCACGGAAGAGACTGTCGGTATTCCAGCTGGAGTTACCATTTTCAGTCTCCTGGCTGGCAAGCTACCCCAAGTGGGAGCGGCCCCTTTTTGGTGGGTAGTGCTCTTGCCTTGGAGCGGGGTGGAGGAGGCACCGCAGGCCCTTTCCTTGGTTGGGTGTGTGCTCCAGATCTCTGGCAAGGTGCCAGATTCTCAGAAGGGTGCAGTTGTGGGTGGTGTTTTTTGTTTCTCCGTTTCTCCTGGGTGGGTGATTTAATTTCGACTCAGAATTTAATATCTCAACCACAATGGGTGCAAGGCTGTCTGCATCACAAAAGGGTGTTTATTTCCCCCTCCTGCGTGGGGGAAATCAGTTTTCTAAAAGGGAAAAACATGGACAAACCAAATAACACAATACAACATTTCCCAATTTATCTTGCTTAAGCAATAGATAATAATTGACAGAAGCAATTGGAGAGTCACAGTTTGATTTGCTTTTATCACTAGAAGTCTGCACTATGTTTATGTTATCTTTTGTTTAGGCCAGCGGTTCTATGATCATCTGGGGTTTGGGACAGAATCATTATGTCCTTACTGACATTCCAATGGACAGTTGCAAGTTGGCCCCACTACAGTTCTCTGGGAGCCCACTCTTGGAACAGATTTCAGTGCAGTACCTCTGAGGAGAGGCTAAGGGCCTTTTAACCTCAGAGCTCTGAATTCAAGGTTCCGTTTTATTATATTATTTTACAGTTTGTTTAACTTTGTCGTTCATCTAACAAAATAGGAAAAATACATTTGTGTCAGCATAAACTATCTTGGGATACTTAAAAAGTGCAAAGTCCATGCATAAAACATCTGAAAAGATTTCCATTAAGGAAAAGGCATCTAGTGTTGGTGATGTTTATTATCAGCAAGGGAATGGGAGAAAAAAAGTGCATTTGAAAAATTCAATTCAGCATTTCTCAAGACTTCCTTATGCATATTATTTATTTGTCTTTCTTTAAAATATGAATGAAGTCAGTGAAAATGCTCTGTGTTGGAGGCTCTTCAAATTTCAGATGGAAAAACCCAGGCTGTATACTCTTGGTGCTCATGAAAAAATCAATAATTGTGGCATTAGGAAGGGCTGCTTCTGTGGTCGTTTTCTTAAGATTTGCTACTCTTACTATTATCTTCATACTCCCACGCATCTGTGTATTTTTCTTCTATGCTTCTTCTCTTTACTCCATTGGGCAGTATTTCTCAGTTCTTTGTGGTGGTAAAATTGGAAGGAACAAAGGATTCAGTAAGAACTTATTTGGGACATGTTGGTGGATGAGAAACTCAACATGACCTGGCAATTGCTTACAGCCCAGAAGGCCAATAGGATCCTGGACAGTGTCAAAAGTAGCCAGCAGGGAAGGGAGGTGATTCTTCCCCTCTAACTCTTTCTTGTGAGAACCCACCTGGAGTGTTGCATCCAGCTCTGGAGTCCTCAGCACAGGAAAGATGTAGACCTGGTAGAGGGCCACAAAAATGATCAGAGGCTTGGAGGACCTTTGAAGACAGACTTAGAGAACAGGAGTTGTTCATCCTGCAGAAGAGAAGGCCCTGGGGACACCTAAAGCTGCATTTGGATGCAATGGAGGGCTACAAGAGACCTGGAGAGGGACTTTTTATGAGGGCTTGTAGTGGTAGGACAAGGGAGAATGTGTCACTGTTGGGTAAGAAAAGACACAGACTCACCAGAAAGCTGGTTTGCCCTTTACTTTGAATTCTCTCTTTTTATACATTGTTCCAATACAGATGGACCAGACTGGTCAATTAATCAATACATTCCACCTGATTGGATAATTAACAACGTGCTTTTCTTATAAGCAGTCCTTGTGAAAAACAGGAAAACAGAGTAGGAAAACAACACCTGCAGGTTGTTCATGATAATAAGTTACCATTGCTTATATTGAACTTCCTAAAGTCTCACAAGCTGATGCAGGGAAAATTTAGCTAATTTTCTCACTCTCTGACCAGGCTGCCACATCCACAGGAATGGCTTTAAATTGGATGAGGGTAGATTTGGAGATTTCAGAGAAGTTGTGGATGTGCCGCCTCTGGAGGTGTTCAGGGCCAGAGTGGGTGAGGCTTTCAGCAACCTAGTCTAGTGGAAGGTGTCCCAGCCTATGGCAGAGGGTTTTAACTAGATTTTATTTATGGTCCCTTCCAACCCAGACCATTCTGTGGCTCTATGATAATTTTGCTTCTTCTGTTAACTATGTTTCCTTCAATTAAATGT